AAATATATATATATATATATATATATATATATATATATGTTTTTTTTACCACCCCATTAGCATGAACATTTTTGTCTTGTATTTCACCTCCTTAAACATTACAACTAAGTGTATGTTTAAGTCAAAACCCAAACAATTTGTGCTTTTTATTTTATACAATTTTTTAATTTTAATGCAATTTGGAATAGCATTTCTTTCAGATGTTAGAACCAGACTCAACATTTTAGCTAAAAGCCTGCTATTTAAGTAGGAATCTTAGTGTAGCCATAGATACAGAAGACAATAGAGAGTGCAGGGGCTGACTGATATAAAATGGTATTGTTGAAAATGAGGTGTTTTGTGTTGGGGGGAAAAAAAGAGTTTTCCTCACTTTGATGTGTTGCACTTAGATTATCTGATTGTATCTGTTTGTGTTTTATTTACACCAATTTCAACAGTGCTTTTTGCCAGCTTTGAACACATGCTGCAAATAAAACTAAACCTCATTGTGCTTTAATTTTTACTTGTAGCCGGGTATATATGGAAAGAATATTTTAATTTGACACTAAAAGAGGTGCTGGGTGAGTTACACACTGAAGTTTAAAATTAAGGGTTAAAGATTTGATCAGATAATAACCTTAGTATTCTAATTTGCTTTGTGCACAAGTTGTAAAAAGCTGGTGTTCTTTTAATAAGAGAGGAAGAAAGCTGATGGAGTAAACAGTTTAATAGGTGAGAATAGTCACCCAGGAAACATGTACCTCTTTTCAGGAATGAAATTGAGATGGGGGTAAAGTTTCGGCAAGTGTTGGTTCTTGGCTTGAATGTGTGGCATAATCAATGGTGGGCAAAAGTAAGAACTTTGTCATTGTCAGGCAGCTCACACTATCTGCAGCTGGGGTGCATCAAACACGATGCTATTTAAAAGTCCCTCATATTCACATATAAGATTTCTCAATGCCAGTGCTCCAATTTATGTCTTGAAAGGATTTATTAAGCCACCTTGAGACTTTTCAAACATATCCTTTCTTTCCTAACATAGCTGTCCACTCCTCCTCTGTTGAAGTTAAAGATCACATAGCCAGGGAAGCATTAATTGAGGTGTCAAGAAGGCTTCTGTTGATATCCAGTTATTTATTTACTAAGTGTATGTCTGAATACTTACAAAGCCTATAGCCTATAGTTTAAAAACAAAATCGTGGAGGTGGTGTCTAATTATCAGTCAGATGATAAACATCAAAGGTATCTCTTTGTATCTTAATATAATGATAACAAATTCAGCTGGATGTGCATACAGAGCCAACTGAACCAGCTGAACTTTTATGAACCGATTGAACTTGCCTGAAATAACGAATAAATATTGTATTACTTTTTGGAATACTGGTCTGCACGGTGGTGGGGGTGTAGAATGCAATTTCTACTGAGGGATTTAATAATTTAGCATCACCCATATGTATCAATAACTTTTCATAAGGCTTTAGTGTTACATATTACACGACACAAAATACGCAGAATAAGCAATACACTGTAACAGCTTAAAAGATGTATCAACATTCAACCCCTACAATCTAAACAGCACATAGGTAAATGAAGATAAAGCACTGAAATGCATCTTCAGCTTTCCTTAGAACATGTTAATTCTTTACCATTGCTAATATGAATATATTGTACATGTATTGATTCCCCAAATACACTTTCAAATAGTACGTTCTCAAATATTTGCTAACTCTTTATTTTATTATTTTTTCTAAACATCTGAAAGGGTTATGTAAAGATAATCCTGATTACCTCATGACTAATAAAATTATCTCAAATTATCTATTTTTAAAAAGTGATCTTAAAAACTTGGTGTAGTATTAAAAGACAAAAACTATTTTGAAAGAAATCTCTTTTATATCATTTTTTTTTTTTTTTTTTTTTCATAGATAAAGCACTGAAATGCATCTTCAGCTTTCCTTAGAACATGTTAATTCTTTACCATTGCTAATATGAATATATTGTACATGTATTGATTCCCCAAATACACTTTCAAATAGTACGTTCTCAAATATTTGCTAACTCTTTATTTTATTATTTTTTCTAAACATCTGAAAGGGTTATGTAAAGATAATCCTGATTACCTCATGACTAATAAAATTATCTCAAATTATCTATTTTTAAAAAGTGATCTTAAAAACTTGGTGTAGTATTAAAAGACAAAAACTATTTTGAAAGAAAATCTCTTTTATATCATTTTTTTTTTTTTTTTATTCATTCATAACTAACTTGTTACATATCTTTAACTCTTCAATGTTACTATAAACCACTTTTCACTGTATATTGAAGAATTACTGAATTTACTGTGTGGTTCTTTGGAGTAAGCTGATGTTACCTTATAGGTTTTCCTACTTGTGGTACCCTATTTATAACTTCTGGCAGCTACCAAGCATTGAAATCAAACAGCTTAGTCATAGACTGTTGTACAGTAAAATCATAAACGGCCCCTGATGTTTATTACAAGGTTAAATTCCATTTGTTGGTGCAACATATCATTGATTGATCTCATGCCACCTGGAACAGAAGATCCAGAGAAGCAGAAGATCCGGAGATATGAAAGACATATTGCAAATTGTTGCACTTCTCTTGGGTTTTTTGGCTTGTGGGGCTGCTGTATTATCATTACATAATCACTACTGGAAAGTGTCTACAGACGATGATAGTGTCATCATCACCTCCGACATTTTTGAGAACCTCTGGATGTCCTGTGCGATCGACTCCACCGGTACTTTCAATTGTTGGAATTTTCAGTCCATGCTCGCTTTACCAGGTAAAACACCTAAAAAAATAAACTCTGTAAATAAGTGTAGTAATGATAATAGTACCATCACTATACTACTCCTATTGCTAGTATTAATATTATTCATTGTTTACTGAATTTAAGAGTTACAGCTAAAATGTGATTAAGGTTTCCTTCATTTATGTTTAAAAACGAAAAAGAAAAAATGGTTTATGAACAAAACGTTTTCTATTGAGAACAATGGAATGTCAATGAGATTATGTTTGCTACAGAACATTTGGGAGTGTGATATTTAAGTAATTAATATTGAGTAACTTACCTTTAAGACAAAAACCGGGCAGTTTTAATATTCTTCACAAACGAAAACAGTTATAAAAGAAACAAAAAAAAAACTGTGCTTTGCCTGTTACCAGGCAGAGTGACAGAGTGACATATTTCCCACTCAAAAATGTCTGTATTTGCTCAGCATAGCTCGACTCTGGGTTTTCCATTTCTCGCTCCCTTAGTAGTGTGTGAAACGCTCTGAGTGATCATGGAGCAAGAAAGAGACGCGCTGATGCTATGCTTATCCATGGGGGGGGGGGGGTAGAAACATGAAAAACCCCTAATGCTGTTGGACTAA